AGTTCATAAGATAGTGACAACAGAATATTTTGTGTTATTTTTAAATCGAATTTTTTTTTTGTAATCTTATCGAAATATTTATTGAATGACAGAGAACGTTTTCCATATCGTTTCATGCAATCAAAAAGTCGTTGACTTCTTGAAGACTAGTTTATATTGTTGTCAAGTTATTTAATCATAACCATGTTGAATACACAATCTTTTTTCCTTAATTCCGCAATAAATCCATATTAGTTTGAATTAGAGGTGAGCATAATTTCATTAAGTTGATAGTGTCAGCCTTCCAATTCGTTGTTGATTCTAGGACTATTGGAATTGTAAAAGATACCATTACTGTCTTAGAAATAAACACCAATCATCGATTCAAATTTTTTAGAAACAACCATAAATTCTAAAACTTGAGTTTCTTGAACTAAAATTTTTACACTATTTATAACAACCTTTGAATGACTATAATAATTGTATATCATCTGTAGTGAAAATGACAATTTTTGACAGTTAGATTAGGAAAAAGCATTGTTGAGAGGATCAATAGTTCAATATTGTCTTCATTGTTTAGTTTATTTCTTTTTCCAAAGCAAGATTTTTTTCAGTAAAATTCTGATATTATTTAGAGAAAAATATGCTGATATAAGAGACTAATTAAGAGGATGTCAATAAAAAGTAAAGTTACTGATTATTTGGATACATGATAGATTTCTATACTGTCTTTACTATTTAGAAAAAACAAGAGTGAAGTTGTGAATTGTTGATTGACGTCTATGAATAGAAAGAGAGAAAGAGAATAATAATTACATTGCGTCGTAATGATCGATAGAGCTTCTTATAACCACTCATCAATTGTTTACATCTATGCTTTTTAGATCCTGTACGACAAGGACAAATATTATTCTCTCTATCTTGAAATAAAAGACCATAAAATCTCTAACGGGTTGTCAGTAACATAGGCAGCAAAAATTAATTTTTTCAAGGCGAATGTTGTATTCATACAGCTACTGTCAGAAACATGAAGCAATGAAGTCATTCATGAATACATGAATGTTAGAGCATGGATGGTTGAATTTGACGAATTAAAAGAGTAGCTTTGTCGCTTTCCTAGAAATTCGTTTTATTGAACTTTTTCATCACTCAATTCATATCTACACCTTTATCAACATATCTTTACCTAGTAGTCATACAAGAGAAGCCCACATCGTTTAGTTCAATATTATAAGGAGGATATTACACAGGAAAGAGAAGATAAATGAAGTTTAATCATTATTTATCATTACACAGGCGTAGAGAAATTTATTACCACGAAAAACCAACATGTGGCAATGTAAATCGTCTCAGACGTTTGAAGTATGCTCAAATATGTCAAGACACGGTTATGGACTTCTAAAAATATGTTTTATGGTTTGAGGAATTAATATATATTCTATTTGAAATCTGATGTAAAATCTATGGTATGACGAGTAGCCCAAGAAGAATTTCTTCCGACATACATTGTACAACTGTGAAATATGGAGGATGCAATGCGAAAGCTTGAAGAAATTTTGCTAAAAATGAAATGTCAGTTTTAGCTCTCATTACCGATAATATGAAAAAAGAACTGTACACATACATTTATGGGCTTAGGCTTGGAGTGTTCATGTGCATGTCAGAGTCTTGGCTTTATCTTCAGTTCTACATTCGCACACTCACAGCATATTTTTTGTAAAATTTTTTCAAATTCTTCTCCTTCATTCTTCATTTTTTTCATCTTCCGAAGCATCGCCCTTGGAGATAATAAAATAAACGAAAAAGTTACTAGCATGAAATCAGTTTAAAACCAACCAGAACAATCAATTTTTTCGAAATCAATTGAAGTATCACTATAAGTGTACGACACCTAATGTTCTATTGTCAAATAAAGCATCTATGCCAAATTCAATAGTCATCACTTGACATTGTTAGTGTGGCTAGAGTGAATGATCATCCACATTAACAGTCACATTCTGTTTAGTGTGTTTTGAGCTAATTCAACTAATCAGGAATAGATGCTAGTAATTAATAGAAAAATTTAGATACCAAAGACAATGGTCAACTCTCCAGCTGAAACTTCAATGTAAACGATCCGAATGAATTTTTAATGCCAATACAAGACTTAACTAATTGATAAAAATTAATGAACATTTTTGAAAAGATCAATGATATATGGGTCACGTCAGCTAAGACCGGATATATCCATCTTGAATTAAATACTTTTTTTTCTGAACAAATTCTTTTAGCATAGATAGATTTAAAATGATAAGCTCTTTCAGCTGACTATTATTGAAAAAGTAATCAGCGAATATCTCTCTAACCATATGAATAACAAAAATTCGAAAATTTCAAAATAGGCTTATGACACAAATCTTATGTGCAATAAAATTTTTACTAAGATCGGACTCCACAAAAAAAAAACGTCCTTTCAAAAACTGTTTGTCTAGAGATTCTAACAAATCATGAAACAAAAATTTTTGTCTTATCATTAGGTTATAAGAACATTTTTTTGTTTGTATATTTGTACTTCGACACGTCACTAATGCTAGTTTTTTTTTTTTTGATAACGCGTTTGAGCAAAAATCTTTAGTGTTGATTTTTTCAGAGTATCTCGAATAGCTTAGCATACATATAATATTTAAAAATTAACTATAAGAAAGTTCATTACTTCAAGATATATGTGTTTTAATTTTGCGAACTCGCGTCGCTGACGAGTGAGTTTTGAATGAAAGTGAAGCTTTTTTATTTGAGTACATAATTATTTATACAATAATATTTGTGTATTGATTTTTTAATCAATCGATATTGTTTACATTTAAGATGAAATTTCTAATACTACTAGAGACTCGTCACATAAAAATACAGAACATTGACTTTATCGAATGTATAAAATGAAATAATATATTCTAGTAGTGTTGATTAAAAGAGATTGAAACAATGCTTAATAATAGAATCGTTAGATCTCAACATGTGTACTTTTCTGTTTTCAAGAATTGTGATATTTCTATTTTTTTTATTTTTCTACATAAATAAAAATAAGATTTTATTAAATTAAATCGTTTTTAGGCATTTGATCTTTACATTGAATCTTCTTATACATCGAATTTTGCATTCAATTATAAAATATTGCGAATATGCTAAAAATAATTTAATTATACCATTCTAATTAATATTCACAATATGGTGCTCTTTTTATTTTCTATGATGACAAAAAAGAAATGAAGTAATTACAAAGTGTGTGTAGTAGTGTTATATCAAATCAATTTGATGATGGCATCTTTGATTCTGTTGACATGGATTTGAAACTTGAAGTTTTAATGTTCTATTACATGTATTTTATTTTTATCTAAATGAATTTATTAGTTTTAAATAATTATAGAAAAGAAAACAAAAAAAAAGTAAATAAAAGACGAAAGAGAATTAAACCTTTTTTTTTCATCGAAAAAAATTTGAAATAAAATTTCATGGCTATAAGATTTATATAGTTATTCATGTTGGATTGATAACGAGATTTTTCATGTCTGTACCGCCCCTCTCAACTTACCGAAAAAAAAAATGTCGTCTCATTTTTCAGTGAAATACATAGACGATGGTTCTGATTACGAATATCATCTTAATTCTTGTCAAAACTTTTTCAATAAATCAGAAAACAAAATTTTATGACAATGTTCAATTTTTTAGACTGTTCTAAGTACATTAAATTGCATTCAATACAAAATCTATCATAAAAGTACATTGATATACGGGGACACGAACTAATCTCCTATTGAATGTATTTAAATGAGGCACTTGAGAATTCATGCAAACATATCAAATGATACAAGATTAGATGATGTCTTTCTCTTGTAAGAAAAGCTATAAGCGAAATTCCTGGGAGATTAAAATGTGAAACACGATGTAATTACTGTTGCTAATTACAGGGAGATTATTTTATTCTATCTATTTTGGGACATATTTCTTCACCATCTTTTTTTACTCAAATCTCCAGAAATGCACTAGAGAAATAGATCAGATATTAGATTAAGATTCTGTTGATACACGATTCATGATAATGATGTGAAGGATTTAAATGTTTACTTCAGTGCTTCAACTTTCCTTTTAAATTTTGTTTCACAGTAATAATCTAGATAGAAGAATATAATGTTCAATTTTTCGAAATTTGTTCACTTAACGATCACGCATTTTTTCTTTTAATATTTTCTATCTATTTTTGATAGATGTTTATTCATAAGCCACTACTTAAATGATTAATCTTCACAGCTTATGAAACACTCTGTATATTACATTGAATATTTTCTATATTATGAGACTAAACACAACAGGATATTTCCATATGTAAAATAAATCGTACAATGAATTTGTAAATGAAATTATGTCATTCTCTATTCAAATATACCATTGAATGACTAGAAAAAGTTATTCTTCTTCAGAAAAAAAAATTTTCCTAACTACTCATCCATTATTTTATATTAGTTCACTAATTTTCTTCTATAAACTGAGTTATTGCAAGCTTTTATATTATACATTGAAAAGCTGTTTTTTTTTTATCTATTATATGTAATAACTTTGAGTTCTTTTATTTATATAAGAATAGTAAACATAAGAAGCTTTTATAATGATGCAAATTAAAAAAAATTATTCATTATTTAAATGTATGATGTGTGAGTCTTCTTTTCTTTGTCACCTACATCAACATTCTTATTCTGAACAGTTTCTGTTCTACTATTAATATCATAGTATATCAATCCAACAGATTTACTTTATTTCTATATAAAAATTACAACAAATTCAAGCAAGAAATTTCGCATCATAATATAATAGGCTGTCGAGAGTATGCAAAAAAGTTTTTTTTTTCTTCAGAGAAAACATCGATACAAGTGGCAATACAATTTGAAATTACTATCCGAAAGTATTTTAAAAATATAAATATTTCAAACTACCATTACCAGATTGAATCATACACCACTATATTAAATCGTCTCTCGAATAATTTATTGCTATTGTTTTTCATCCCAATTATCAAACCAACTGTCTATACTTCCCATTAGAATTTTAACTATGTACTACAAACAAAAGACATAGAAAAATAATGATTCAACAGTCAATATGACTTACATCACCAAAACTGAACGGTAAATGTTTGCCACGATAGGCTTGAATTTCGTTTCTTTCACTTCGATAATCGTCGACAACATCAAGATTCGGAATCTTTTTATCCCAACCGTTCAAATATCCTATACATTGTTCATCGTCTAAAACGAATAATAACATATTAGGCAATATATTTTTAGACGAACGAAAGAACGTAGCACAATAAAGAGAATCATAAAATATGTCTTCGATATTTTCTATTTACCTGTACACGCAATGATTGTAACTGGAATTTGATTAGTAGGTGTGCGTTCATTTTTGAGAACATGTTCAAGTGTATGAATATCCGTACGTTCTTTATCGTCTGTTGGTATACCGTCAGTTGCTATGAGAATGAGCAACTTGCGCTCATAAATATGGTTACGCTTGTCTTTAAGTACTTGTCGAAGAACGGGTACAATCGGCGTTGAACATGAAAAAAACAAATGGACTCAGATAACAGTCATTAAAGAAGAATTGAAAATTCTCATCTACCTTCTGGCTCCATAGCAAAAATATTCTCTAACTCGGACGAACTGTGCACATGTAACATAGGCTCACGATTGAGAAAGTAGACGTCAACACCATCAGGATCAAGAATACTAGCGAGATCGACAACAATCGATACTGTTTGTTTTAGTTCATCCCCTAGAAATGGCGAGTGAATTAACATTAATATATCATTATCGCAGTATATCAGATCTTACAACGTGTCCTTTGTTTTTCACGTGGATTAGTAACTTCTCCTGAAGAAGAATCAAGGAAATAGTACATAGATGAGAAAGAAAATAAAATGTAAGACATGATGATGACTTACCGACTGGCGCGCTCATCGAACCTGAATCATCACAGATAAAAACGATCTCGTAACCTCTTAGTCCATATAATTTTTCAGCAAAACTTGGATTAACTAAATAAATATATATGCCAATGATTTAAAGTTCATCGAAAAAAACTCTCACTTTCATAGCGATTGATAAACTCATCGAACTCAGGTATGTGCTCTTGTCGTGATTCAGAATAATTTTGATTTGAAGAGCTGTCAGAACGATGTTTCTGTTGATTATCATTGACAGTGGGATAATAAGGCGGCGGAGGAGAGGATGGTTGCTGATACTCGCGTGAATTCATTCTATTAATAACAAGAAAAAAAGCTATATGTCTAATATCAATTTATACTCTTCCTTTTACCTGAATAAAATAATACTTGTGTCTGAAGAACGCAAAAAAAGCAACTAGAATAAGTTATAAAGATAAGTGTCGGTTTATGCAAACACAAAGAAACATAAAATAGATGGAGTCAAGAATAAAAAATATAATTTGCTGAGTTTTATTACTATGACTATTTCTGACGAATGGAATTTAAACAAGTCCACCTGTCGTTACTACAAAAAATATCGAGTTTTTCTATGTTAACTTTCGCTTTTAAAAAATTGTATCCATGTTATATCAATGGAATACAATTTCAAGAAAGCGAAAATTTTCTATTTTACGATTTTACACTTAGTTTTTCGAATTTTTCTCCAAAGAGTACTCGCTAAATAACTTGTCGTCATTTTTTCTTATCAATAACTCAATTGTCGCTACAAGGATATTTAGCTGCTATTATCTTGCATTTTTTTTCAGTACTTCCATTCACTGACAACACCTTCCTATATTATATGTCGTTGAATGCCAAGGACACTTAAATACAGACTAGAGTAGACACCAATAGAGAAATTGATCCATTCATCAAGATAATTGAGGCCACCATAGCGGCGCTACATTCAACAAGCTGCGCATAGATGTCCTTTTTTATTGCCAAGTGAAAAATAGAGACATCTGCGGCAATCACTGGATGATGCAAATGGATTTTTTAAAAAAATTTGTTTCTTTTAATTTGTATCAAATAGTTACAGTAGGATCTACGAAAGTGTGCTATAACATATAGAAATTTTAATTCTTAATTATTGATCGCAAGAAGAAAATATTAATGGTTGGCTTCATCTCGTCTATTGACGCAATCCACGTAAAAGGACCCTATTATTGAGTGTAGTTCAAATGTTCATCGCATGTCACATTTAGCTGACATCATTTGATAAAACAATGATGAATTTATATGCATATCATCTGTTTTTTTTCCATCAATGTTTTGCTTCCCGATTTTCTTTGCAGAAATATGTGCACAGCATACAACGAACGTTGCTTTTAAAGAATGAAAATATGTTGCTAGCTTTTATTAAAAACAAAAGCATTGGGTTCTTCGTTACAATAAGAATAAACAGGTGTGCAATGCGTATGAAGCAAAAGAATTTCGATGACATAAAATCTGATTTATGAAATTTTTTTAATCCATTCTTCGATTGCTTGATGAATTGTTTCAGGCTGCTCTTCCATTAACCAATGACCAGTGTCGAAATCAATTATTTCAATATTGGGCGTAAATGAACTTTGTTTTGCAAAAGATGTTTCACGACAGATATCGACCTGTTTTCCTCTCATGAAGAGAATAGGACGTTGAATAGTTGGTTCGATATTTTTTTCATCTTCCCAATCAACATTAGCAATAGTTGATCTGTACCAATTCAATTTTGGTTGCATTTCTTTAGTAAGATATTGGCGCACGATGTTATAATCATTTTCTGTCATATAAGAAGCTCGAGCAGTTCTATGTTTATTGGTTAACCATTGCCGCATCTTTCCAGTAGGAGCAAAATCTGTTTTGAAAAGTGTCGTATTGATAGCATAGACAAGATCAATGAAACTTTCCAAATTGTTTTCAATGATTGAAGTAGCATCATCAGAATCAAAGAATTTCCAATAACCCAACGAATCATATCCACAATATGCTGCTGAATTCGCTATTGCCTGATCAAGATCAAATAATCCTGGTGGCATGTAAGCTGCACTAAGAAGAACAAGACCCATTGTTCGTTCAGGTTGATATAGAGCAATGCGACTTGCAGGTTTCATACCCCAATCATGTCCAACAACAAAAATTTTATTCAAATTCAAGTGATTAAGAAGAATCATAAAATGATCTACCATTGATTTAACTCTATATTCAGTTTTGTTCATTGGAGAATATGACTTGCCATATCCCATTGTATTTACTGCCAAACATCCGTATCCTTGTCGTGAGAAGTACTTGACTTGATGACGCCAACAATGGAGAGATGATGGAAAACCATGAAGAAATAAAAATGTCGGCTTTTTAACGCCGCAATCATCATGTGCTTCGACATAAATATATTCATATGTAATACCGGGAGCAACTTCGTATGTTTTCGTTTGTAAGGTTGACTCAGATTGTTTTTTAAGATTGCTGCCGATATATTGGTTTTCTAGTGGTACGATAGATCTTATTTGAAAGCAGGCAATAAAAAGAGATAAAAGATGGAATGCAAAGTAGTTTATAGTATACATTTATTTTTATTCGAATAACTGATGAGAATCGATCTGACGTACAAGCAACCTACATATTCCTTATTCTCATTTCTTATTATCTTAATCTATATTTTCTTTGTCGCTTATACGTTGTCTTTCGTAAATATTTAATCAAAAATACAATGATGTGTTGGCTTCTTTGAGTAAATGATAAAGTTATTATGATTACACATTAAGAGGCTTACTAAACACAGATTTTCTTTTATTTGTCTCGTGCATTTTGTTAATACAGTGATTTCATCGATAACAATATGTTGCAAATGGTTAATATTTATATGCTGTGCATGAACGAATAAACGCACCTATATCTCAATAAAGCATTCGCTTTTCCTATAAAATTCATTTTGGTCTGTTGTTTTGCTTCTCCTTTTCTTCTAATCAAAAGAAAATAATTTTTATGGAATGATGAACATATTGAGAAAATTTCTTTTTTGATGTTTTCAATGACTGAAATCGAGAAATTTCATTTTTCAAATGAGCGAACTGGATGATATTCGCAAAAATAAAGATATTGTTTCATTTCGAGCAGAAATAAATTAACCATCACAAAATCAAGAAGAAATACATTTTTACAACAAGATCTTCACAAACAGAAATCCAAAAGACAGTTAACAAATCGTTCAGATTCTTTTTTCATCGTAGAAAAATTTTTAACATGATAGGATTTTGTTCAGCAAAAATCAAAGTAATTATTTCAAGAAGAAATGATTCAATAATATCTTTTCTGACATGAAGATATACGAAAAAACGATTTATGCTGAAATTAAGACTTATGCATATCAAGCATTTTTCCATGAACCAATACAATTTCCCCATTGACTAGTACAGTTGTTCACTGCTAAAAACTTTCTATTGGTGTACGTTTTTCATTGATATTCACTGGCAGGATGTATGCTGAACCTATTTGAATCTTCATGCATCCATCACTTCGAAATACTTATTGTTAATAATCGATTGTGATTGTGATAAGTTTTATCCTTATTTAACAAAGAAAAAAAAATCACATATTGCAAGATGCTATTGTTAATATCTGTTAATCAATCTTTGCATCTAAACCTGAGTCAGTAGCAGAAGATAATAACATCGTATTGACAGTTGTTTTTTTTTTAACAAGAAACAAACAAATCATTCACTCTGATTTTCGATGATACAACTTTGAAAGAAATAACAAGACAATATTTATTTCAACGTGTCCCATAGTGAAACATCTCGTAAGCAAGATCTTAGCCAAGACACAAAATACAAAAATATAAACAGATCTTGAAAATTTAGATACAAGTTAAGCTTATTATCTTATACCAAGATTTATAATTAGATCCTGAGTATCAATGAATCTGATATTATTAAGGTATAACAGCAGAGTGCGGATGTAAGTGTACGGATCGATATTTTTTCAACACAAACTCATGCTACTAACAATTCGCAATCATTTTTCTTATTAAAAAAAAAATCTTCATTTAACAACAAACTTACATCTTCTAGAAATTATAGTAACTTCACTTAAAATACAATAACTTTTCATTAAAATTTTCGTGTGATTTAAAATTTTAATAATCAATTTCAATCGTTTTATAGAAAATTAATTTAATTGTCTATTTTAATATAGTTAAACTTAATTTTCTTTATGTTTGCAAATGAAAAGTAGTCGCTAATAAATATATAATATCAACAATTTCACTTCAATTGTTGTGAAATTTTTTATACATTTTAGAAATTCAGCAAGAGAAATTTTATGTTGTACTGTTATCCATCAAAACAATTATTCACAATTCTTAGAAGTAGTATTGAAACATAAATAACAGTATTGTCAATCATCATGCTTTCTATATATGGGGTTGGTAATAGTCAATTACCTTGAAATGCTCTTTAAAAAGAAATATGATTGCCGAGTTAGACAAGTAAAAAGTAAATGGATGAATAAACACGTGCACAAAATAAAGAGAACAAACCATCATGGTAACCCAAAATACATGTGCTTTAAAAAAAAACAGCAATAGTCCAAGATAGTCATTTTTTTATTTCTTCTATAAAACGACGCAATACGATATTTCTGCCTTATAAATATAATAAACACAAGAAAAAATATGGTAACAAAATTAAATGAATTATTAGGAGAAGAGCTTCTTCAACATAACGCATCTGGAGATGAATTAAGTGTAATATCAACAAATCAACTTGATGGAAAAACTATTGTAGTTTTTTTTGCGTCTGTTTATTCTGCATAAATTTCAAAAAGAAATTAAAATTTCTCTTTTTTAGGGCTCATTCGTGTACAAATTGTAAAGATTTTACACCAAGATTAGTTAAAGCATTCAATGAAGTTAATGATGAAATAAAAAACAAATTGGATATCGTTTTTATTTCATGTGATAAAAATTCAGAAGATTCAAAAGAATATTTCAAAAAGATGCCATGGAAAGCATTACCTTTCTCTGGTATTTGAATATTTTTAAATTCAACTAATAAGAAAAAAAAAAAGTAACACATTTCAATGAAGAAATCTACTATCATCATCTTTGTTCCTATTATTCTTTTTTTTGTTATCATACAAAAAAGTATTTCTTTAAAACATTTCATCTATTTAATTTAGATCGTCATCGTTCGACTGTATTGAGCGAAGAATTCAACACTGAGGATATTCCATCTTTGATTGTTTTGTCTCCATCATGTGAACTAATAACTTCGAATGGTTATGATGAAATATGCTATGCTCCTAAAGTTGCTTTACATAAATGGTCTCAAGGAAAATGTTTATTTTGGACTCGTGAACAACGAGACAATGAACATGTATGGGAAAGTATTAATTGTAGTAAATGTTTTATGAAGCCTTTAATTGGTTCACGATATGGTTGTACAAATCACGAATGTCAAATTAATTTGTGTGAAACATGTTCATCAAAAAATAAACATGAACATCCTCTCGTTGAGTATCTCATTCCAACACAAGAATATTCATTAGAAACGCTTTTAACATCGATACCTTATTTACTTGATCCTAAAAGTGAAGAAAAAATTGAAACAAAAACAATATTGAAAAATGATATTAAATGTATTGGATTTTATTTTTCGGCTCAATGGTATTCTGATTGTCGCATATTTACAATAGAATTAGCCGAGTTGTATAAAAAATCACAAGCAAATTCTCATCCTTTTCACATTGTATTTGTATCATGTGATGATGATGAAGAATCATTTCATAGTTACCGATCAGAAATGCCTTGGCCCGCAGTTCCATGGAATTCAAGTGCAATTCTTAAGGCATACTTTCAAGCTTTTAGTAAGAATAACTTCTATGAAATTTGTTTATCAGTTTAATGTTTGTTTTTATTTAATAGCTATTCCATTATTTATTATTGTATCATCCGATGGAAAAATTTTATCACGTCGTGGTTATGAAAATGTTTTACGTCTTGGTATTGAAGCTTTACAAACATGGTCACAAGGTGAAAAATTACCTCGTCTCTCGGAAGATAAATATAAATGGCTTGATATCACTTGTGATGGATGTCATATGAATCCTCTTGTTGGTCAAAGATATAGTTGTTCTATGTGTGACTATTATAATTTTTGTTCAGCATGTGAAAAGAAAGGACATAAGCATCCTCTTGTACTTCAACCTCAACCAAATGACGATGAATAAAACTAAATGACAAAATCTGTGTAATGTTCTACATTTACTCCAGATGATCTTTCATTACAATACAAATCACATTTACTTAACGAATTTCATATTTAGAAATAAAAATACTAAGTTTTTTTCTTGAAAAGATCTAGAATAATGTGTTGTAGAAAAAAAAAATATTTGACGAAGAAAGAAACAAAAATAAAAATCAAATCTATAATATTAGACACTTTTCTGTCTATTAACTATATTCACAAGACCATTATAATGAAACACTTGTAATCTATGCTGAAAATATGAATGCATCAAACTTTAATTCTATAATCATATTAAAAGATAAATCACATAAGGTTAAGATGTGGGTGTGGGTATGAACTTTCTCTTTACTCAAATCTACACTCACAAGTTCATTTTAATGAGTATGCAGTATACTATTTCCATTAATAAATGACATCATATTATCACTAACTTGTTATTGTTCTTTTATTGTTTGATTTCTTCTTTTTTTCTTCTAGTATTTAAAAAAAAGTTTTCATACTAGTAAATCTTTTAAGGTTCTAGATTTCGATACCATTTTCCGGAATTTTTCAAATTATAGTGACAAAGTTTAGAACGTTTTAAGTTCCACACATTCAAGCTACACACTTTTCAAATTTTAGAATTTTTGAGTAGAACTAGAAAGAATTTAAAGAATGGTGCCGAAACTTAAAATCCTACAAGATTCAGTATAATGACTTTTTTTACAGAGTAGTTTGCTTGTTTGTTATAGTATTCCTTTGATCGCCAAATTTTTCTCATCATCTTCCAACTCAATTGTTTTATATAAGGTTGTTTTTGTCAATTAATTATGTTTCCAGTATTATGTTTTAAGCTTACCTCAATCTTTTTTCAGATCAAAGAAAGTGACATTATAATGAATGACCCAGAATAAATGTCACTCTCAAAGTTTTGTTAATATCTTCTTCAATTTTCATTGCTCAGTTTTGAACTATTCCCCAAAAAAGATTCACCGTGCTGTTCTCTTTAAATACTCATAAGATGTTTTATTATGAAAGTACACATAGCAAAATCTTGTAGAGAAGATTGCGAAGTAGAAAAGTAGTGCTTTTTCAAATATTTTCTTTCGGTTTTTTCTTTCAATTTAAGGTGAGAGGTGTGAGTTGCGTATGGATAACGATGTGGATGTGAGCTTTCTCTTCACTCACACACTTGATTTTATTACTTATCATTTAATTTAATTTACTGATTTTTAAATATATCAACAAACCTAATTATTTTAATGAGTGACCATTTCAATAATTTTGTGATCATTCATTTATTGCCCTGATGTTGTAATTATTTTACTTACTGATAAGTTCATTTACGCTAGTGATCACTTAAATGATAGCCAGAGAAAATCATAGTGGCACACTCAGAAAATGTGTCTAACTCTGAACTAGAACTTAATCATCTTTTCATTACGTAGTAGTTTATTAAGATGTACATTGAAAAGTGAAGTATGCTCATCATTTTTCGTTATTTTCATCATTATTCAACTCAATGAATCATATTTTTATGTGTGAACTCTTTAATTTCACCTTGTAAATTTTTTATTGCGACAACAACTTTGATATTTTTACCATATAACATCTAATATTTCTTATTTTTGAATGTGTTCTTCCATTAACCTTGATTTAATCAAGCGTAATATTGAATATAAATGAAAAAATATTCGTTTTTCTGCTGTACAGGAATACAAAAATTAGACCTTTACAATCAAGGTCTATTAGCTATCAAAGATTCATCATAAAAAGCAGAAAAACGATCCATTGATGTAAAATAACGCTAATATTACAATGATAGCCACGCCCAATGATTGCATTGATGCATACGCACGTTGCTGGTAACAAAGCGAGAGAAGAAGAATATTTTCTTTTTGTATGCATACTAAAGACGTCACCGATGCGTCATCGATTATTTTTTTGTTGATGGTATATAATTGCGATGCAATAAAGTGAACAAGAAATATTCTAGCTATTATACTCACAACAGAAACATTGCACTCATAATGGATGCAGGTATAATAATGTTTGAATTCGAACTTTGTCGATTTACTCAGTTGATTATTATTTACTGCAAACCGTGATTCTCTAAATCATATCAGCATTTGTGGATAATTTAAAAATTAATTTGAATTCTGATGACCAAATAGGGATTTTTTAGAGATAGATATGTCATACATATTGTACTAGGATGGTATTGCATAACAATATGTGAGGTATATCTTATATAAAAAAAAGACTCCTAAATAAAAAATTTCCTAAATTAAAACTCTGGTTTGGTTACCTGAATTTAGTTTAACTTTTTAATTATCTACAAATGTGAATATGATTTAGGAAATGACATCTTTGTGACTTTCTCACGAATGATTAGCGTAAGATATTCAATTGCTTCAGCAAATCTTTCCAACATTTTTGAAATCTTATCAAATAGGAATGACACTTAGTTGTTTACTTAGCGTGAGCCTTTCAATCTGAATTAAAGATGTCATGAAATACGGTTTGCAACATACATGAACCTCCGATAGAACAGCCAATATCTCGGTTTCAGGAATGTCATCAGAACTGTTAATTTTAGTGAGATTTACTGATTCTTTATTGATAATAATTGCAAAAGTTGTATTTAATGATAAAAGTGAATCCACCAAAACACAGATATGTTTTACAGCCACTATTGAGCTTAAAAATTCGCTTTTCGACTTCTTCGTTATTTGTTCTATCTCTTGCATTATAGCCGAAGATGTGGCTGAGCGTGAAAACAAGAAAAAAGATAATTCTGTAACAATGAATCATACAAGTCCCGACCACATCGACGGAAATGTATTTGCTACAATACGACCAATACACCGAAGTCAACAAGCCGAACTGTCTACAGAGATGGAAGATGAGCATCCACTAACTGTCGATATTACGCCGTTCAAGAACACATCATTATTTTTCAGTCTTACACTTCGTTCATTAGGCGTTATTTTCGGTGACATAGGTACATCACCACTATATGTTCTTAGTACAATATTCGATTTTCAACCATCCGAAGCACAATGCATTGGAGCAGTAAGCTTGATTATTTGGAGTTTAATTGTTGCCGTATCAATCAAATATGGTATTTTTATACTTATGGCTGATAACTTTGGTGAAGGTGGAACATTTGCTTTATGTGGGTTATTGACAAGTGAAAAGAGTTTTTTGGGTCCGAGAATGAAAAAAGTGATAATCGTTGTATCGCTACTAGCTGGATCTCTCTTACTTGGTGATGGTGCATTAACACCAGCTGTATCAGTGCTATCAGCTGTTGAGGGGCTGGCTGTCGAAGCTCCCAAATTACAACGCTGGATTGTACCGATAACGGTGATCATTTTAATTCTTCTTTTCGTTGCTCAACGATGGGGAACATCGAAAATCGGTGTTACTTTTGGACCCATCATGTGCTTGTGGTTTTTTTCTTTGTTTGCAATCGGTATTTGGCGAATAACTTATAAACCGATCATTTTCAAAGCATTTAATCCATGGGAAGCATTTCATTATCTTATAATAGAAAAGAAAAGAGGTTTCTATCAGATTGGTGGCGTTTTTCTCTCTGTTACTGGCCTTGAAGCATTGTACGCTGATTTAGGCCATTTTGGACGGTGGCCAATTCGTTGTTCGTGGTTCTTCATCGTCTTTCCTGCAGTATTGTTCAACTATTTAGGACAAGGTGCACTGTTAATTGTCGACCCGACTTTGATCGATAGTCCATTTTATCATTCTGTTCCGCGTTGGGGACATTGGCCCATGATCATTCTTGCTACCGTAGCGACAATAATTGCATCACAAGCTATAATCACTGGCAGTTTTTCGTTGATCAGTCAAGCGATCGGTATGGAGTGTTCGGTACCATTTCAAATATGGCATACATCAAAAACGATAGTTGGTCAAATCTATGTTCCGACCTTAAACTACCTATTAATGATCCTCACTATTGCTGTCGTTGTTGGATTTCAAACGGGTTCTAATATTACTAATGCTTATGGAGTAACTGTTTGCAGCGTAATGGTCATCACAACTGTCTTATACATGCTCGTTCTTCGCTATACGTGGCGCAAACCATGGTATATTGTTGCACCCTTCGGTATATTTCTTATTTTTGACCTTTATACATGGTCATCAAATGCAATCAAGATTCCTTCTGGAGGATGGGTGGCTATTCTGATTGGATGTGGATTTTTCATTCTTGGTTTTTGCTGGTTTTTCGGTCAATTGCAATTACGTCGTTTTTTAAGGGGTCATTCGCAGACAACCAGTCTTAACATCTTAGTAATAAGACTTGGTCTATTAATTCGAGGCTCACGACAAGACTCTCAATTTTCTCTAACTGATATTCCTATCATTACAACGGCTAAAGGAACTCACGGAGACAATATTTCATTGTCGGATTCAGATTCAGATGTTGATTTTGATACGAATGACAATGAAACTCTACCCAGAGTTCAAAGTCGTGTGCAATTAATACAAAGTGTACCAATAACATCATCGTCCAATACATCTTTCAACTTTGAGTTAAATAACATGAATGCTAATGATGTCATTCCAGCTGTAGTGACACCAGGTGTTGCATGTTTTCTAACTACATCGAAGAAACATACGCCTCATGTATTTGAAAGTTTTCTGTCGCACATGCATTCCATACCTCAAGTGATTATATTTCTCAAAATTGAACATACAAAACGAGCGATAATCAAGGACAATGAACGTCTTACAGTGAAAATCTATGGTGACAATATTTATCATATTACAGCGTTGTACGGCTATTCTGAATGTCGAATAAAACCCTACCAGATTTTATTACTTGCTCATACTCAACACAATGTGCCAATACCAAATAATGAGTTACAAGTTACATTTTTCGTCGCAAACGAAGCAATTAAAGTATCAACAGTTGGATGGCGAAGCTGGTTTCGACGTTGGCCATTATATATCTATTCGATCCTAAAAAGTTTGTATCCAGGAGCAGCAGGGAACATTAAATTAAATCCTGAGAGTACTATTAGTATTGGTATATTGGCCAAGTTGGACTAAATTATTATTCCATTTGTAAACAAAACTCATATTCATTTTTCATTCATATCGAGTTTCTTTATTTTTATAAAATTAAAATCTTCACTTTTGTTCATTAGTTTTGTAGTCCAATTACTTGATATAACATACGAATATTTCAGGGTGCGAGTGTAGAGTGGGAGGGAGGGAAGTGACGTACGATGTGAGTATGATTCTTCTCTGTAGCGAAACCCATATCTAGGGCCCACTCCGACCCACACCCATACCCAGTATTCCGATTCTCATCAGAGTTATATGAAACGAAGACATTTAATAACTACGAATTTGGAAAGATAAGGAATTTGTAAAAATTAGTGAAGTAAAAGAAAATTTTTCAAAAATAAAAACTTTCATCTCACTTGCTTACAACATTTCGTCCTTGAATGCAAACTGTTGATTATGACTTGGTACAATAAACAAAACAAAAAACAAAGGTATAAAGTGAACATATATATTAATGCTGTGAGAATTTCTCATCCAACATTCAATACATGACATTTTAATCATGTATTAGCGGAAAAATAGTGATGTAATCTGATCTCGTCTTTTTCTGTAAGGCGCATTCTTATTATTTATTAAATCTTTATGTCATAATTATTTAACACCAAGAGAGTCTTTATTTTTTCTATGGAATGCTTGTCTGCTCGATGAAGATAATTCAATAATAAGAACAATACTTGTACTATTCATTTTACCGTATTTTGATGTTACAGTCTATGTTTACAATACTGTAGACAGTTCTTCAGTTGAGTTCTATGACTGTATCCTTCATGATGGTTGGTTTTATTGTCGTCGTTCTAAGGAACCGATGAATTTGGATAGAAATAATGGCGTAAGACATTGTTATCACAAGGGAATTGACCATTCCTTTGATGAAATCTACGCGGCCAATATCAGTATTAGCACTATCTCACATCAATGGAAATTAAGTATTGAGAATGTCGAACAATACTTGCGCTACATGCGACATTCAGATAAACTGGATGAATATGTATGCGAATGCATAGATCCACAATCTTTTGGAAAGAATTGTGAGTATCTGTTACCGACGGGTACAACGTTTGCACAAACATTTACCTCATCAAATACGCTGAAAAGGTATAATCCAAAATATGTTCAACTCAACGGTGATATCATTTGTTATATAACATTGGAATGCAATTTTGGTCTGTTATGTTTAGATTGGCGCGATATTGTGATGATGTTCAGCAATGTATGTCAGAATTCGATGAAAATAATTGTGACAAGCTCGAATTTAATGAATGTAAAAATGATGAATATGTTTAGATTGGAGTGATGAAATTCAATATTATGATGATGCAAACTGTCCAATAGAAGAACCAAGTGCTCAATGTGATGATCGAATATGTTCAAGAAATCAATGGTCATGTAGTGACGGATAATGTATTCTTGATTGATTACAATTTCAGAAATTGTCACAAATTAAGTCACAATGTCGAAGTCGACGCAAACAATACTTTATGTGTAAAACGCATCATATAAAAAATATGTGAACATTACCTGATGAACGATGTTATGAAGAATTAAATGTAAACAGTCGTACTATGCATGAAGAATGTGAATATCTTCTCAGATGTGCTCTATGAGAAGGAGCAGAAAAGAATTGTTCCTGTAGAGATAATCTCTGTACCGATCGACTCAATACTATTTGCTCTTCTTCTTATCTTCAATATCCAAAAGCTGGAATTATAGATTTCTCTATATTTTATCTTTCTACTTCTGAACACGAAATTCTTCTTTGGATAGACCAGATATTTTTTGGATCAATAGAGCAATTAAATGTGAGATATTTTAATCAACGTCTCTGGTGCTCGATTTTCATATATGTCAACACTTCGTCAAGTTGAAGATTCATTATGTCGACATGTAAAGAATGGATCTGTATTTTGTAATGAGAGTGACGATCAACTTTGCCATCGTTAATCATTAACTTTCAACAATCGCTCGTATAGTTCTAGTAATTTTTGTAACAAATCACAAAAAGGTATTTCAATCTATCGTATTAAAGATAGATTCGTCGATTGTATAGATAAAATGGATGCAACAAATAGTTAATCATTTGATATATACAATATGTTTAAAAATTCAACTTTTTCGTTTTCGTTGTTCTATTGATGAACCAACTTGCTTAAGTGTTACTACTCTTGGAAATCTTGAAAATGATTGTAAAAACCTATTTGATGAGCTATGGTTAGGAAATTAGCCGATGTCGATTGTAATAAATTATGGAAAGATCAATGTGAAATGATTCAACAATACATTGAAAAATCTTGGTTATTGAATATAACGAACCAAATCACTGAACAACTTCGAATATCATTTCGTAGTTATTGTGATACATTGTGAAATTTAGCTTTGAAAGAAGATGAAAATGCACATGAATATAGAGATTCATGGATATATCCATAAGAACAATGGCAATGTAATACTGGACAATGCATTGATGCAAGATGGGTATTAGATGGAGAATGGGATTGTTTAAATGCATCAGATGAAGACGATCCAGTCAATTCATTTATTTTAGATCAAAATTTACAAATGATTGAATATTCTAAGTTGAAAAAAAAATTATCAATTTAAATAGATCATCACCATTTTCACCGATTTGTAATTTGACAACGGAATTTCCATGTTTTCTTTTCAATGTTTCTAATCCATTACATAACTTAACATAGAATCGACCTTGTATAAGTCGACAACAGATTGGAAATAATCACATTGATTGTTACGGAGCTATTAATGAACGTAATACTATAACACATTGTGATCAACCAACAATGCTTGGATATAATTTTAAATGTCAGTCAAGTGATCAATATATTTCATATTGGGATCATTGCTTAGGAAGTCGATGTAACACAATTTCTGATGACCAATTCTGGCGTGATCTTCGACTAAATTCGATCTGCTTGATATAGTTTCTCAGGCGTAAAGACAAATAGTTAATTGTCAAAAATGTTGATCATAAACTTCGATTGATCCTATTTTCAATTGACTCAAATATTACAAAGCCAATGATAGACATGAATTCTATTACAAAACGTACGCAAGCAACAACAGTATCACTAAATAATACATCAGCAGCAATTGCTTATTGATATAATCGTGGTGTGGGTGTAAAAATGAAGAATAATTCAATTGTTTGCTTTTGTCCATCACAATATTACTGTGACAAATGTGAATAATTAATCAATGACAAATCTAAATACATATATGTCTTTGTAAAAGTAATTTTACAGGAGAAAATTGTTCAATTGAAGATCAACATTGTATTAATGTTTATTGTGCATTTGAATCCTTATATAAACCAAATTATCGTGGTTTATTAGTTAGAAATGATCTACCTTACTGTCTTTGTTCGTTTATTGTATTCGGTGAACATTGTAATATTGAACATGATCAATGTTTATCAAATCCTTGTCTAAACAATGGTTCATGTTATCCAATTTCAAAACCAGATACTGTTGCATGTTTATGTACTGAAGAATATTATGATAAAAATTGTGAATTGAAAAAGCCAGAAATTAAATTGTATATTAACGAAAGTATTAATCATATAGCAGCTGTTATTGAATATTTTGATATTGATTTTATTTCAAGCAAAAAACAGCACCAGAAATTATTTTAGTTAAACTTTATTCTTTTCAAATTGAATTTTCTGTTCAATTTTATTTAATCTCTGTTCATATTGATCTTACATCAATTTATGCTATTACTCAAATAAATGGGAAAAAAAATCGATGTGTTCATATTTGTACATTAATGTCAATCAACAGTACTCAATTGATTTCAAATTATTCTCCAATAAAATATCATTAATTTTGTCGACATAATAAATATTTATTTTGTTTTCGAGATGATTTCTATTTATGTATCTGTAGTAAAAATCATAATCGAGTCGAATGTTTTCGTTATGATTCTAAATATGAACAATGTTCACATTGTTTAGCTGGAGATCGTTGTTTGAAAGGAGATCGATTTCAATTAAATAATTTCATTTGTTTATGTTCATCATGTCATTCAAGTACTCATTTGCTTTTACTCTTGATCAACTTTTCTTTATCGATCTCATATTTAACAATCAAAAAATAAAAAATTTCGATTACTTATTATCATACCACTTCTTATATTTCTATTAGCATTACCATATAATTTATTTTCTATCATTACTTTTCGTCGACAAAATTGTCTTTGTAATGATATTGGTCAATATTTACTTTATATGAGTATTATCAATCAATTTAATCTTGCAATTCTTACTGCTAGTGTAATACATCTAGCAATTAATACTACTGGTCTTCATGTTTGCATTACTCGTAGCTATCGAACGTGCTTATATGACATTATTTCTTAATGGATGTTGGCTTAGAAAGCCACATATTGCTCGTCATCTGAGTGTTCTCATTATCACTGATATTTTGATTAGTGATATTCATGAACTTGTTTTTGTCAAATCATTATTTGATATTAACGATGGTATGCGTGTATTTCAATTTCCAATCATTCATTAACCAGCATGGTTACTCTTTCATTTAATTGTTTCAATCATAAATACTATTTTACCACTTGTAATCAACTTTTGTTGTACGATCACGATCAGTTGTATCATAACTAAAAAGAAAATGAATACTCGTAAAACCAATAATTGTACGTATTGAAAGAAAGTTTAGAAAAAATGTAGCTGCAAATTTATATTAATCATATTATTTTAGATACTAGAACAGTCACAGAGAGAAATGAAAAACACGATGAGATAACATCAATACATGAGACACTACTTTCAAAAATGAAGTTTTAAATAGTACGTGACTATTCATTTTTTTCGTTTTATAGAATCTAATATTAATCAGTCAACGTTGATCAATATTCAAATGTATTTTCGTCTCATGTTGGATGTACTTAACGAAAACAAAGAGTTAATGATCGAACTAGGTATTACTCTTATTCCACAATTATTTTCGCTACCATTCTTTGTTATTTCGTTCACATTTTACTGCCAAAATCTGGAGAGTAGCTGGGTGCAATATTTTCTAATAACTTCATACTTAGTTTCATTCATTTCTCAACTGAATGGTATGGTACTAAAACAGGTCGATGGATCTGTGATTTCTTTCAACATAGTCGACCAGTTCCGAAAATATCAATAACATAGAGCACATCAGAATCGATCAGAGACAAACATCAAAGTTCTTTTTAATGTATGCTGAATTGCTGTCGTACATTTTCCTTATAATATAAAGTTTTTCATACTAAATCTATGTTGTATCTAACATATCTTTTTCCACAGAAATGCCTATTATAACATTTCCTATTCTCAGCGAAACAAAAAGAACAATTCTTTTGCGCTCGATTTTGGGTATGGGTGTGGGTGGATATGGGAACGAATATGTAGAGTAAATTTCTAGCGACGCACAACATTAATTTAAATTAGTCATGAAGAATCTTTATAAATGATTCATTGAAATATTTTCTAATTTATTTTTCCATTCGATTCTATTTATAAGAATTTGACGATTCTTAATCGATTTGTTATAATAATAAAAAATATTTTTAATCATATTCGAATTAAATTAAATCAAAAATTTTGTTACTAATAGACAAATATTCAATGTTTTCAATTATTATTTGAAACTATCGAAAATTAAAAAGATAATATTGAACGTGACGAATTTACAAAAATCATTAAAAAAATGAACTTGAAATTGGTTTTTGTTGAATTTTATCTATGATTTAATAGGTAAAATGAAACATTTCCTCATAATATCTCTCAAATAGAAATAATAGTGGTGCATTGAATTCCTTTTGTGTTTCCTCAGAGTATTGTTAATAGAATATCAACAATATTTATTTTTCTTATTGGTTTATGTTTAATATGTGTTTTCAAAGAAAATCTTTCAATAAAATCAATTTTAATTCTTTGATTCTTTGTTTTTTGACAATCTTTATTTTCTAAGAATAACAAATTCACTTACAATCAAATATTTCTTGGATATCTGCAAGTTTTTGTTTCCTTCGATATGTTTCATAGACTAAAAGAAAAACTACTGATATTCTTTTGTATCCGATCATTAATTAATAATTGTTTAATCTTAGAAAAATTAAAATTTTAACAAAAATTGTTTGATAAAATTCTAATCTGAGAATTTAATCAATATTTGACCATTGTATCAAATTTTATTCGAAATTGATGAGAGAGAAAAGTTTTTCCTATGAAAGATAACTCGACTTGTTAATATAATAGAGGTCACAAATGATTTGATTGTATTAAACATAGAATAAAATAAAACAACGACGTATGCCAAATATAAATTTACGCTATCTGTCCGTTTATCTGAAATCAAGAAACACTCTTCAACTTATCAAACAAATTTTATCGTTTATTTTTCCCTCAATGAAATTACTGTTCCTAAATATTCTGAAGATGAATGACACTTGGAAAATGAATCAATTTGTCTTGGAAAGTCAAAAAATAAACAATGAGTTGAGAAAAAATATTCGTTTTTTGTTTTCTGACTTAAATGAACATCGAAATTCCTTTTTTTTGTTGTTGTCCACTGAGCAGTTTTCAAGCTTCCATATGAGATTTACTGTGAATTTTCCCATGATAAAATTTGCATACACAACGAAACATCTTGATAGTGAAAGAATTTTTTTATTGACATAACAAATAAAAGAACTCAAATATTGTTGTTATCGCATTTTATCAATCCTTTCTCATTCAATTCTTTTTTTTTCGTAGTATATTTCATCATGGCCACGACGACTGTCAAAACTTCGTGTGTTAAATGCAATAAAGTCAAAAACACAATGAAATGCAGCGGATGTTCTCAAGATTTTTGCTTTGATCATATAGCTGAACATCGTAATGAATTGAGTGAACAATTAGGTCAATGTGAAGATCAATTTAATGAAGTAAAAATTAAAATTGAAGAGCAAAAGACTGAACCACAGAAAAATGAACTAATGAAAAAACTCGATAAATGGGAAATCGAATCAATTGAAAAGATTCGACAAATGGCAAATGAAATTCGTCATGAACTTTCATCATGTATTGTCGAATTTATTACTGATCTCAGTTTGAAATTTCAACAATTAACAGAACAAATTATTCAATGTCGTAAAGCAAATGATTTTTCTGATGTTGAAATTAAGTTTTTTAATGAAGAACTTAAACGATTAAAAGATATTCTCGACAATCCATCAGATTTCACAATTGAACAAGATTCAACAACATTCATCAATAAAATTCGTCTCACAAGAAAAGGTAAATCACGTGCTCGATTTGAAATTGTAAAAATAAAAAGTAAAAAATTTTTCTTCATCTCATTTTCTCAAAATTATCTGTTCAACTCATTTTGATTTCATTCTATCGGAAAACTTCTCATGTTGAACAATTTCTTCTAAACCTTTATTGAGATGAAAAACAAAACAACAAGTGATAAGATATCTTTTTAAAACCTTCAATGTTGAATAAGAAGTTCAACGACATAGTTAAAACAATAATTGATATCTTCTTAAGAGCAAATATTAAACAAAAAAAAAATCTAAGAAGTCTTATTCATCTGTATCCAAGAACAAATTTAATTTAGTAAATGCTCGAATTTTTCTTTGAGATAAAAGCGAAAGAAAAAAAAGCAAATCACTAAAATTTCAATTTCATGATGAATCTTATTTGATAAAAATGTCATTGTTAAGTTTTCTTGACTGATTTTCATTATTGTTTAAGAAATTTTCTTATCAAAATTCTTTTAAGAGATAAAGTCTTTTAACAATCTATATATACCCCTGGCAAAAATAAGTTTCCCTCTGTATTTTGAGGATATTGTTACCAAAAGAACATACTTTTTAAAAACTAACGACATATTCTGAAAGCCCGTGAAATTTTACATCATCCTGTATATATGCATTTTCATTTGCAGTTTTGTATTACCAAAAGAAATTGAGTACAATGAAGGCACCCTCATGTCCAGATTTTGACAGACCTGATTTTGCCACTGTTATTAAAAGTAGTTTTTTAAATTTTTGATCACTATAGAGTTAATTTTTAAAAACACAAATTTTATATTCTGATAGAGCTTGAAATTCTCTATCACTCTGTCTATTTACTTATTTTCCTGCATTCATAGATTGAAAAATAATTTGAGTACAATGAACATACCCTGAATCGACAAGTACCAAAAATCGTTACATTTCTCCTTTCTTCAAAATATGCTTTCAATAAGAATAAATTTTCAAAAACGCAAATATGGATTCCGATAGCGCTTGAAATTCTCTATCAACTTGTGTATTTTTGTCTTGCCTTATATTTCTATACTGAATGTACTGAAAAATAATTCTCGTATTACTTTGGTAACTTCCTGAAAAAACCTAAAAAAGCTGGAATTTTTAGTAACACTTTCTTTGTTACTTCAACTTTATTATTAGTATAAGAATAACTTTTTGAACAAGTAATTATAGATTCTCATAGATCTTGAAATTCTCTATCATCGTGAACGTTTGAAACAAAAACCGAAATGTATAGAAAAAAAGCTACGTCAGTTACAGTTTGTCAAGGAGCGTGCCTGCGTAATACTTAAATTATTCTCCAATATATACATGCAAGATAGTTAACAAATATACAGGATGATAGAGAATTTCAAGCTCTATCAGAATCTATAACTGCTTTTTCGAAAGCAAAATTCTCCTAGGAATAATGAGTTCAAAAAGGAAACTCCAAAGCGTCAAAAAATGCAGATTTTTGGTACTTGTCAATTAAGGATGTGTTCATTGTACTCAAATTATTTTTCAATCTATGAATGCAGGAAAATAAGTAAATAGACAGAGTGATAGAGAATTTCAAGCTCTATCAGAATATAAAATTTGTGTTTTTTAAAAATTAACTCTATAGTGATCAAAAATTTAAAAAACTACTTTTAATAACAGTGGCAAAATCAGGTCTGTCAAAATCTGGACATGAGGATGCCTTCATTGTACTCAATTTCTTTTGGTAATACAAAACTGCAAATGAAAATGCATATATACAGGATGATGTAAAATTTCACGGGCTTTCAGAAAATGTTGTTATTTTTTAAAAAATATGTTCTTTTGGTAACAATATCCTCAAAATACAGAGGGAAACTTATTTTTGCCAGGGGTATATATTATATTGTAATTTACTTTTGTTTTTCATATCTAATAGTTCGTCATACGTCAATAGTATGTAGACGACAAAATTCTTTCAATCTTCATTGAAATATTTCTAGATTCAGTTGTATATTGATCAATTTCGTTCTTGCATAGTATCATATGAGCTGCGACACAACTGTTGAATTACATCGGTTTCATTGCATTATATGATGGATAAAGTTGTGTGATGTATTTTGACAGTTTTCCTGGAAACTTCATTGAACACTACTGTAGGAGTAGGTAGGTATACGAGACATAGGGATTCGCACCGCATCTCTCTCCATGTTGATGTCACGGAAGGAGACACACCGCATCTCTCTGCATGTGGGTGTTACGGAAGGAGTCACATTGCATCTCTCTCCATGCGAGTGCTACGAAAGGAATCACACCGCATCTCTCTGCATGTGGGTGTCACGA